CCAGACACAGGCAGAGCTGTGACGCAGGCTGCACCGAGGCATCGCCCAGGCAGGGACTGGAGGCCCTCGGGGGAGCGTGTGGGGCCAGCAGGACTGGTGCCTCAGTGCACTCAGGTTTCCTTCAGAGGGAAGTTGTGCTGCTCCATTTTTGGATGTTGCCAATAAAACTCCTTACTAGCATTAGCAGCAAGTCAATGCCATCTGCTGTATTTAAATACTTTTCCCATTAAATACTTTTAATGAGTTCAAAGACCTATTTCCAAAACTGCTTCCTGGCTACCTCAGGTGTCAATAGCCAGAATAGTACCTTTCAGAGCACCAGTCTACAACCTAAAGCTGTTTTTTATTGCACTCATCTTCCTGCCAAGCCTTGACACTGAAGAACCAAGCAATGAGCATTAACAAGCTCCTGGTTCTCTGAAGCAATTGGAGTGAAACACAGCATTAGCATAGCTTCCCTGCTGCCAGATTCTCATGCCAAGCCCTGCTATCTACATTTTTCATACTGCTTCTTGCAAGAAGCTGTTGTCTGCCTGTAGATAGTACACTCAGTCTGAAGGAGGGGCTGTTGTATAATGAGTATCTATTAGGATGGGTCTGAATTACTCATTAAAATAGTCCTGATTTATAACAGCCAACTCCTGGATTTACTTTAGAGTATAGTTAAGGGTTTATAAAACCTTTTTCTTCTTTTCACCATAGCCTCTAGGAACCACATAGGCATCTAATGTATTTATCTGCATAAGTCCCCTGTGAATAATGTGAGTGGTATTACCCTTACTTCAGACAGGGGAAATTGATGTGAGGCCTGAACTGATTGAACAACATAACCAAGATTGAAGCAGAAAATCTGCAGCACAGCTAGAAATGCAATCCTGACTCTTATCCAAGCATCTTATCTACAAGGCCATCCTTCGTTTGGCTCTGTTGGTCTCCAGAAGAAAGTATGGTAGCAAATGCCAGCAGAATCACTGCTGCTGTTCACTTCATGGCCTCAAACGGGAATAGCTGCAGGAATCCTGGCTTGGAAAGGAGCCTCAGTCCTATAGTGATGCAAAATGCTCGGAAGGTTTGAGTGATGCAGGAAGCCCCTGGTCCCAACAGCTGCCACACCAACTTTACATGACACATCTACTACATGAGCGAGCCATATTTGCTCAGGTTAAGTCCATTAACTTTGTTCCTAGACTGGAAGAACTGTTTTCCCTTGATATTTCGCTTCTCTTTCATTTATGTGGGCCAACATCCAGGCAAGGGGTAGAAATTCCTAAACTAACTCTAGGAAGTCAGGCCACTGGGCTGACAGGGATTTTTTCAGAGTGCCTCTGTTCATCCACACTTGGGTCAGATGTGACCCTACTTTTTCTGCCTCCCTGGTCTCCAGACCTTTAAAGGCCACGAGACATCACCATTCACTTTAATTTTGAGACATCACTTTAATTTTACAAGTGTTGGCCAATTCCTTTAATATTGGCAACATCTTTGAACTTCTCTTCATACAAATCATTGCACAGTATTTTTTGTAAATACAGTAATTAAAATTATTTGGATTTATTGAGAAACACAAGAGGAATACTGTACAAATATTTGGATGTTAGTTGCCAGCAGCTCCTTAGTATGTTAATTCCAGAGTCTTCAGGTCTTAACTTTTTATTTTACGCATACAGTGCCAAAAGAGAGCAATACTTAAACAGCTCCTACAAGCGAAGGCCCTGACTTTTCTCCAAAATGACAGCTGCAGACTGGGAAGTGTGAATGAAAACTTGTCTGTGCTGCTGATGGCCAAAAAGTTCTGCAAAACGCTGCGGGAATGTGAAAAAAATTACTCTCTCTGCACCTTCCACTCTCCCGAACTAATCTGATTATTTTCTTCATGCTTTTAATTTCTGGGCTAAGTTTGCATGCCCTCCTGTAATTTCCTTTGCTTGGTGTTGTGCCATAGGGCTGCAGCACAACATCTTTGATCTCAGCATTGGGCACTGTCTTTCTCCAGTGTGAAGTTGGGAGGAAAAAGTGGCTGTAAGTGCTTGTCAGGAGCCTTGCTAAAATGCTGTGGAAGAAGTGAGACATCACTAATCTTAATCACTTTCCCCCATGTTCTTAATTAAGTGCAGGGGTTGCTCGGTTTTGTTTTCAGTTTCTGTTTGCCCCCATGCAGGGGAAACTGGCCTCTGTGTCCAGCACTTGAAAATATTTGATTGTATCTGAGTACATCCTGGAAATCCTGAAAACAGGTCAATCATACAGAATAGTACCGCAGCAATCGCCTGTGGTGATGGGCACCTTTCTGACATTGCTATATGGTGATCCCCGAGTGCATTTGCCCTGCAATCCCGGGGGGGGGGCTACAAAGGGAAGTTAAAAGAGAGGAATGAAGTTAAAGCAGGTAAAAGTGAAGAGCAGAGTTTTTGAAAAAGCAGCTTGGGAGCTGGGCCGTCTTCTGTCCCCACACATTCCACAGCTCCCAGTCTCTAGAGCGGCAAACTCACCAAGACAGACTAATCATCAGGCTATAGATTTTGATGGCATATCTGGTGTTTGTTTCAAAATCCAGCAGTATTGAAGAAAGGCCAATTTTGCACCTTAACACATTAAAATAATGTGAGTTATAAAAGTTTGTCCGAGAAGGTAGAACACAGAGCAAGTTAGTATCTGAGCAAAGTGGTAAGAAATTGATCTTTGCTGGTGACTGAATTTCCTCTAGGAAGTAGGAAAAAAGTGATAGAAGCATGCGCTGACAGCATGCTGTCAGTAGTAAATTGTGCTGACAACAGAAAACCAGTATCTTTATTTAATTCATATACTGAAAAGCCCCCTATACGTCTATGTGTACATATATGTATGTATATACATAGGTCTATTGCTTACCATGATTAAGTATGCTCTGTACACCCATACATTAATGGGAGACTTGATCATTTGTCACGTTGCATAAGGGCAATATTATATTTTTTATTTTTTTTTTCCTTATTATTGGCTCTTTCTTATTTTATGAAAAGTAAACGACTCCCCTTCTAAATTCTTTCCCTTAAGCGGTTAGTGTTCCTGTTGATTTCTTTGAGACCAACTCCTGCTCGTCAAGCCACGACTTTGAGACCACCACTTTGCTTCCCCTCTTCTCTAGCTACCCTTGCTAAGCCGAAATCTGCAGGGCATTCTATCTGGAACATTACATGAAGTGGTTTTCAGCAAAAGCAGTTTAACTTGCTAAGCACAGGCACAATTATTAGCTGAACTTGCAACCTAGTTATTTCCTAGCCAAAATCTAGTCCTAGGAACGTCGCCCAGTCTGTACTCCAGCGTGTTGCTGACTTGCCCAGCATCCACAAACCCGTGTTAAGAGCAGGCTGTCAGCATCTGTTATCCCTCTAACTGTAACCAAACAATAGGGATAGCGGAAGAGTAGGAAGACAACTCCCATGGGCCTTTTGCATAGACTCAAATAGGATAGAACATCATACTCCAATCTTTAAAAGCAAAAGAAAACTTACCTAGACTTTCTATCCAATGTCTAAAAAATAGTCTGGTCTGTAAAGGATGCTGGCAATTACATTGAAATGAAAGAAAGCGTTTGGCAGAAGCACCTTTCAAGGCAAAAGGCACAGCAGCACTGAATACCTAACCTCACAAGACTCTTGTTGAAAGGCAAATTCCCCAAACGTACTTTTACAGCACACAGAATCACACAAAGTGGTGCTACAAAAGAAAAATTCTCTTAAGTGCTCTGTGTAGCGAAGGGATTTGCTAATAACTTCAAAACACATTTCTGAAAGTTATTATCAGTTTAAGAAAAAAAGCAACAAACCTCTCATATTCAGGCCCCTGAACAAACTGAGCCAAATCCTAGAGTTTATTAAATTCTTAAATCAAACAACTTTGCAATATTTGTGATTATTTACTGACTCAAAAAAATAAGCTATTTTGAATAATTACTATGACTTGGTGTGTTAAAAATATATTGATTATGGCATGTCTGAATACTAACAGTAATCTATCCCCAACTGAATTTCTGAATTTTGTATGGACTGAAGTTACTGCAAAAGTTGCAAGAACAAGACACAGAAGCTGAATTCTGCTAAGACTTAACCTATAGGTCCAATTCCCATACATGCTTCCACTGCTAAACTTTTACTGCTCCAGGATGCAAAATTAGTTTGTTTAATTATGGGAATGCGACTTGAAGCCACTGATGTGGCTTATCCATCATCTGTATACATAGAGATCGTTTCCTGCAATGCGAACAGATTGTTCTTGTGCCACCTGTAAACTAAGTTTACACATAGTTCTGTTTAATTTTTATCAAATTCATTGTTCATGCAGGGTTGGCAAATGAAAAAATGCTGATATATTTAGGAGGAGTTCGGAGGAGATTCTAGTTCAGATATAGCTCCACTAAGACCTTTTGCCTTCCTGCTTGGTTCACCTATCAAGACCATGATAAGTTTTGATTATTTTTCTCCTCCTAAATCTCACCTTCCAAGGTCCTTAAGTAAAACAGAATTTACCTTTGCTTTCCAACTCTTAATTTATTACTAGTTATAAGCAAAACACACATTAAAATTAAACACTCATCATTGCTTTCAAAAGACTTTTTTTTTTTAAAAAAAAAGCTTTATTAAACATTATGTGCATTTTAAAGAGCTTTTCAACCCTTAAAACTGACTTTCTTATTTTCACTACAAAATAAAGCACGCAAACAAGTGCTACACAAAAAAGTTTGAATTTCCCTACGGCAGTAACTGCAGCAGCCACTGTTAACTGATAAATGGTGTAGGAATTATTTCATTAACAACTCAAAACTGCGTTAGCATCTGTATAATATATGTAGCGCCCACAAGGCAGGAATAAGGAATCCTAACACATCTTCCAATGCATAGAAGCTGAAGCTTGGGCTTCTTTCTAAAGGATAGAAGAAACAGCACCACTTACCATGCCTAGAAATCAGTTCTATACAACAGCTTGACAGTAATAAGGAATTGTTGCCTTCTGTATCTACTTTTTCAATAATAAAATTTGTTTCTTTTGAAGTAGTTGCTTTCTAGAACAGGACCTTCTCCATATAAATGAATTAAGGTTTTTTTAATGAAAGAAAATAAGTGTAACTTGCAGTACTGAAAAAGCCAGACAGCTTAGCTACATTTCCATGTTAATAGAGATTATTTTACAATATTAAACAGCCATCTCCATTTTGATAGGTGGATGGGGATTATAATCTTCAATCTGAAAGTCTTCTGCCTTAAAGTCACTGATGTCTTCAATCTCGCGAAGAATTCTAAGTTTGGGAAATGGTCTTGGCTCCCTCTGAAGCTGAAATAAAAATATGTCCTAAGTTTATTTATTGTACAAAGACAAGATTTGGAGGCTGAGATTAAGCGTGTGCTGCTTCTGTAATTTCACAATTAAAGTTAGATATCATTAATCTCAAATCAGATCACACTACGCAGATTTTTCCCTCCTCCCCAGGAAGACTTATACTCAAAAGACAGAGAGGGAAAAAAAAAAAAAAAGAATACCAGAGCATACTCCAGGGATTTGATTAAGGACTGCAAGCAGTTTCAGTTTTGCAGAGTAATTCAGGGGGTTGCAAATCAGATTCTTTTTAGAGAAACCCGAATTGGAAACTCTGACCCAGGTGTGCACCAAATGTGCTGGCATTTCTAATGGGGGTGTAGGAGCCCAAACTAATGGTTGGTGCTTTGGGTGGTTTGGGACCAGGCATATGGTTTTGAACCTTCTGTCAGGTGAGGACATTCAGTCCAACCTAAGGCTAGTCAAACGAAATTCTGATTTCCTTCTTTTGCATCAAACTATATCCTGAAGAAAACACAGCCATATTCACTCAGCAGTAATTCTGATTAACTACTGTAAACTGATGTTACTCTTTACTAATGCACTCCAAAGGTATTTTATTTTACCTGTGCTAGGCAGAGTGGTTTTCTAAGGTTTTGTAACCATGAAGTGAGAAGGGTACAGATTCTGGATCTCTGACTTAGACCTAGAACAACAGCAATCTGTCTCTAATCGTGTATATAATCCAATAATGCTTCCACTATTCTACTACATTTCTGCCTTTACCAAGGGTTAGACATAGGTTAAAGACTAATACATTAGCCACTTCAAGTACTATGTCTATTAAGGAAGAAGCGGGAAGAAACACAAATTAAGATTTGCAAAATAATATTCAGAGTATTAAGCCTGATTGCAAAAGATAACTTTGTAGTGAATAAGCACCAAGGAAGATACAAAGGTACAGAGAAAAGACTAACTTGCACTTTCAGAGGTTCCACATGATTCAGATATATGTGAGCATCTCCCAGCGTGTGTATGAACTCTCCAGGCTGAAGAGAAAGGAGAATACATGAGGGTCTTCAAATACTCAGTTTTCAAAAAACTAAAACATTACAATGCTTACAGTATGTATTCTCTGCACTTATTGCAGAATTGCAACTTCTGTATTGATCTGGCTTATCAAGACATCATTGCAAGCTTCCAAGGACTCTCTCTTCCTAGACTAATGCACAATTAATGAATAATATATTAAATATCCCAGCTTACTGAAGTATCTTTGAAATCCCACCAGGGTAATAGCGACTGTGACTGAACAGAGTACTAATAATGAGTTAACACAGATGGAAACAGATGAGGCATTGATGAGTTCAACCTTTCCTCTCCACAGCTATTAAGTAGGACTTGTTGGCTTAAACTAAGCAACTTGACCACTAACTATAGGCAGAATAGTTCGTGGCAGTGCAACTCTCAGTCATAGGTTAGACCTCAAAGTACTTATCTAGCATCCACATGGGTTTTGCAAGCTTGCAAGTTCTGCTACTTGGCGATCCCTGAGCAATTTAAAGACCACTTATCTAAGTTTTATCAGCTGTAAGTACATCTCTGATCAAAGTCTACACCAGTCCTTGGATATACCATGTTAAAATGATTTACACCTGACACTCAAAGACTGGAACCATCAAAATCATAACAGGAAATAACTAGAGGTAAAAGAACAGATGCATAACATATATTAAACTTCATTTCCCTTGGCCTAAGTTATCTGCATTTGCTCTGAAGCTTGATTCTTCTCCACTTTTTGATTTCATCCAAGTTCTCTTTAATGTTGTGGCTAAAGGCAGCAGGATCAGGCCTACACAACCTTGCTAACATAATTCTAAAATTCTAAAGAAAACCATTTTTCGCTTGGATAAGATTGCATATAAATTATTCTGCCAATTTATAAAACACAGCTATCCAGAGACAAGGCAGCAGCTGTTTGAGCATATAACAATTTACAATAGGAAATGAAAAAAAATATTCCCAATTGAAATTATGGCAGGAAGTTATGTGGGCAGAACGTTCAAACTGCAATCTTGAAAGAAACCACTGAGCTAATGCTCATTTCCAGTAAAAAACACCTGCTACAGAATTTTTAATAACTCAGTATGTTTAATAATTTAGTATCATCACAACAACAAGTGCTTGCTTTAGTTTTGGGAAGTAAACCAGTGAAACAGGTCAATTTCGACACATTCAGAAGATCTTGTGGATCCCCTGCCCATTTTCCCTGAATTTATGAATTCTCACACTGCTGAACACAACTGCCAATACAGACACGCAGCAGCTCATGTTAAAATGGAGCCCTTTCTTGCACATATTTCAGTACAGATGTGGAATTCTATGTTGACTGCAGTTCTTCCTAAATATGAGAGTCAAATTTAGCCCCTCACTGTTCAGATTAAGTAGAAGGGTTAACTGGCCCACCTACCTTTAGGCCTGTGACATGGGCTATCATGTATGTGAGCAGTGAATAGCTGGCAATATTGAAGGGCACTCCCAGTCCCATATCTCCAGACCTCTGATAGAGTTGGCAGGACAATTCACCATTTACAACATAAAACTGACAAAGAGCATGGCAAGGAGGCAAAGCCATCAGGGAAATATCTGAGGAATTGCAATATAGGAACAAAGAAGAAAATAAATAGCATTAATGTATCATAAATGTAAAAGATGCATAAACTGGATAAGTCCTGTATGAGATACAACAGACACAAAAATCAAACTGCACTACCATTCTGTTGCTATTTCTCTACGTTTTAAAAGCATCTGCTGCCTAAAGCAATGATGATTGGGTCATGACAGACTGTCTCCTAAGCTGCAGAACCAGAGGAGTCATAAGCAGATATTGCACACAATTGTGCCATAATGATGCACAGCTTAGTTTTACTGAGCTAGATGAACCAGTTCACTTCCCTAAAGGAAGACATTCCAAGTAAAATTATGCATGTACCCTGAAGCACTTCCGAGTGTTTCATCTTACTCTCTTCCTACGTAATATATCTTAACTGCTTAATGAGGTATAAAACTGAGTAATAATCAGTTAAAAAAAAAAATCAGAAAACAAGATTGCTGAGTGTTTATCCACAAGTGTATTCACAGCTGGGTAGGTAACCATTTAACCAGCTGCTGGTACTTGAGAACAGTACCTTTCTCCCTTTTAGAGAAATTACTGGAAAATGCTGGGGCATCTTCTTTGCACACAGTTCTAGTAAGGCTGCTGAAGTCAAACATTTTCTGACATCAGCTCTTGGCTAGAGGCAGCCCTACAGAGTGAACTGATATTTAGATAACCTATGTCCAAGGAAAATGATTACAATAAAAATAATATTTTTGTTCTCTACTTACAAGTATTTTGTAAGTTTATAATCACATATATGGTTAAAACAGACCCATGCATACTTTTTATTGTTCTTTTTTAACCTTACTAAAGTAAGGTTAATGCTGAATCTACTATTCTTAAATAGATATTATTCTTAAATAGATATTTTATGTCAAAGACAGTGATAGGCACAAACATTCCTCACTTTAAGCTAGAGAGAAAAACTTTGAAACAATATTCCAAAAACTTTAAGGTCTGAAGGCAAGAATTAAATACAAGACAGAATCAAACTTATACCCCATAGACATTTCCACTGCAGGCAGAGAGCCACAGTCCTGCTAGTTTTCTAAAAGAAAAAGCAAAGCCACCAACATGGAAGAACTACTGATAATGAAATCATATTTTAGCACACAGCAAGAAAACATGTAAGCACATTCCCTCGAAATAAGCTGTTCAGTACCTTTTGGATTCCAAGCACACATAATGATTCTTCTGTCATCTGGATTATTTCGGATCATTTCAATCACTTTTTGCAACTGATCAACTCCTTGGTTGGAGTAATCTGAAGACAGAAACGAAAAAAGATCTGAGTGAGACAGATTCAAGTAATATCTTTTCAAAGCCCAGACATTTTCCCACTGAAGAGTGATACCCAAATGTCATCCTCTGAAAAATTTTATTGCCGTTTTGAATATGATAAATTTATCAGTTGGTATTCTCCAAATGTGAGCTATTCTTTGCTGCTCTTCCTTTGGGTGGTCCCTAAGGTATTTACAGTATAATCCCATCTCTTTGATGGGCTTTGAGTCCTTTTAGCACTCATCGAAATGGGCCTGTTCCCACTAGAACATTTTCTTCCCAGTCTCAACAACTTGAGAACTTTTAAGACAAAGAAAGAAGTGTGAGCAAAAACTACAGAAACAGAACTTGAAATATAAAAGAATAACTGGAACAAGCGCATTGCCTTATCAGACTTACTATCTAAACAGGACAAAAGTTGTGCTGGAATGAGAAACAAGCTCTTTATATGCTACAGTGTTGCTTCTTTAAAAAAAGAAAATTTGGTGTGCCAGTAACAGCGGGTGCCACAACTCCTAGTTCTTAGAGCTCATAAGGCCACTTATGCAGGATAAGTTTCCAAAGAGGTCAAAGCCAGAAAGGAACTTTAATCACATACAGCACAGTGTATTACATTTCCCACAGGTTGATTTTTCCATGGGTTGGAAAAATCATGGTTTGATTGGGGTTGATTGGGGTTCCCCATAAGTTGATTTTTAGGCCAATATTAATTATATCAAAAACTCACTGCAATTAACAGAACAGGTAGAATGAATTTGAGAGTAAAACAGTCTTAAGTTGTTATTCATTATTCTGACTCACGACAGTGAATCAGCATGCTTGGTAACACAATTTTCACTAGTAACTGCTGTTGCAAAGCAAAAGCAAATTATGGTCACAGGGACAGACCCAAGCTGGCAAACAAGGTGGTGATATATAATTACCATCTCAGGGATTTCTTCAGCCAGTAGCATTGTGCCAGACAGCCTTTTCAGATGATTAGGTTAGTTCCTGAAGCAAATTACCTATCCATTAGTAATGCTACTTAAGGTAATTTATCTTGTTCATTTTTGGCAAGTTATGTTATACTTCAGACTTTTTTAAATTCTGGAATGTTAAAACTTTTTAGTAAAGGTTTTTTGACCTGTCAGTTCTCCACTTGTATTAGTACAAAACTGTATTCTGGTAGCTGTTCGGATGCCAGTATAACATTCAACAACTCTAATGTCAATTTTGAGACTATACTGACAAGGAACAGGAAGAAAACAGTTAACCATGTTAACAATCTACCTGAGTTAAAAATCACACCAACTAGATAGATAAGAGCAATCCTGTAAGTTTGGCCCCTCAAACAGATAACTCATTCTGGCTTTCAATTCATACCGTGCCTGTCATACTCAGACACCCCACCCATAGACGTCCGAAAGAGAGGGATTACAGCCATATGATGAAGTCTCAAATGTGCTATTTTTTACGTCCTCACCTGTGTGCATATCTTTATATTCTGCCCCAAAGTGCCTCCACTGGAAACCATAAACGGGTCCCAAATCACCCTCTTCTCTGTTGCAGAAACCCTGCTTATCCAGGAACTCACGTGAGCCATTGGCATCCCAAATCTTCACACCCTTTGCAGAGAGTTCTTTGGCATTTGTAGAACCCTACAAAACACAGACAGTAAAAAGTCTACTTGCTAATCACAAGATAGCAACATGATTTGAGATAGCTGAATTACCTTTGCTGTTAAAGTGTATTTCTCCACTTGTACCAGAAAACATGAACAGTCTGCTTGCTCCTGCACATGGACAGAACACCGCTTATCGTGTGCTAAGACTGGACTAAGATTTGAAGTGCCATCCTCCTATTATTTAACTCACAGTTCTTCTAACCTTGCAACCTCAACAGCAGTGCAGTGTCAGCTCAACTGAGGTGTATCAGTTTGTATACATATCTGCAGAGAACAAGACTGTACTTTTCAGATGAATAAAAGCTGAAAAACAAAAAGCTTACGGCCTAGACATTGACTTTCCAAGACACCTATCATAGGTTTTAAGTGAACGTTCTTAAAAATCTTTTTGCTAAAAATGAAGAATTACCTGGAGAAATTTCATTTAGTTCTGCTCAAAGTCTAAATCACCAGCCTCAAAACTTAACATGAAAAGCAGTCAGTTCCAAACAGCAAAAAATTGCATTTGAGCCCTGCTACCTATCAAATGGTTACATTATAGCCTTCCCATACCAGTACTTGTGACAGAATGTCAAGGGACACATATATTTGAATTTTACTGCTCTCACTATAGCTATGAGGTACGAAATTTTTTTTGCTACTAAAAAGCCTACTCTTTACATCAGTCCTACTGCATCAGTCGCTCCTTGCTGACAGTTTTGGCTCAAGTCAATACAGGCTACCTCAATATTAAAAAAGCAGACATTGCCCACAATCTACTTCAATATTACTATCTCATATTCAAATGTTAATAAAAGAGTCTTTATTGCACTTCATATCTATGGGATATAGTTAAAAGAGTAAAGTTTCAGAGTAGTTTCCTTAAAAATAAATAAATAAATAAATATCCTTCTGATCTGTTACAACGGGTGAGTCTTCAATATGGGCGAAAAGCCTTGCAGATAACACAAGACTTCTGCACGCCTTAAAAACACCAGGTTGTTGTGCTCTGGTCTGCTTCGCTGTACGAGCTGAAGCTGCCCCTTCTGACCCTGAACAGGATGGGCCTCAGGCACCCGCGATCCTCCGGCACGGCCACCCGAGCACCGCACCTTGATAAACCAGAGCAGCTCCTCCAGCACTCCTTTCCAGAACACTCTCTTTGTCGTCAGCAGTGGAAATTGGTCTGGAAAACAGAGTTCGGAAGGGTCAGAGATGACAAGCGACGCTTCGTTAGCATGACCTGAGCTACGCTTGATTCAGCACGGCCTGAAAGCAGCCAGCACATGAAGAAAGGCCGAGAGGGGCCACTCCGTGCCCTCATTCGGCTTAAGCAAGGCAGGAGCCCGCTTCCTTTTCCTGGAGCCCAGCACAGTGGCAGATGGAGGTGGGTGAGTTATAATAAGCATTTGCATCACTCTGCCATGAGGATGCCCTGGCGTATGGCACAGGTGTAGCTGCAGGCACACGCGGAAACCGCAGGCTTTGGGCAAAAGTTTAGTCAAAGCTGTTTCACAGAT